TTGTGTAATTTGGATTTTTGTTGGTTTATATGGTTTTATCATTTATTTTATGATTTTTCTTATAATTTGCATTACTTATTTTTAAAGGTAGAGCAGAAATGTTTAAATTAGGTTCTTTGAATAGATCAATAAAATGAACAGATCTCTTTTTACACTGATTAAGAAAAAGAAAAGGCAAGATAGAATATCAGGAATGAAATTGAGGATATTGGTAGAATCCCACAGGTATTATAAAAGATAAAAAGTATTATAAAGTGGTATATATTAAATTTGGAAACAGCAGAAATTGACAAATTCCTTGAGAAACACAACTTAACATTTATATTACAAGAACTAGAAAAACTTGAAGGGACTTGTAAATATCTTTTAAAAATGTGAGTCTATAATTTAAAAAGTCATTTTCAAAGAAAATTCCAGGTCAAGATAGTTTCTCTTATAAATTCCTGCAAAGCTGTAAGATTAAAAGTAATACCAGTGTTGTAGAAAATCTTTATGGGAATAAACAAAGTCTTGTATTATTGTGCATGTAGAATAACCTGAATATCAAAGCCTAACAAGAAAATTACAATAAAAATTACTTCTTGAATATTGGTGTACATATTCTGAACATAGTATTTGTGAATTAAATATTGTGATAAATAAAATTGATAACATAGGCCGGGATTATTCCAAGTGCTCTTCAATTATTGTTTGCATTGATTTGAATTTAGTGCAACTTTATTAATGACAATTGTAAGATTTTAAAAAGTACAAATATAAAAATGTGAAATTAAATGTAATTTTAGTTTTGTACATTTTTATCCCAATGTTATTCTAAGTATTTAGAAGTTCTCTGACAGCTTAAGTGCATGCGTTGCTGTTCTTAAACATTCTTTATTATGGGAGTAATTTTTCAATGTAGTTTTCACTGAAGGTTCATTAAAAATGTAATTTGTCTATAACTACTTTCTCAGTTTCTAAGAGACCTAAGTTATAGTTTTTATTTTGATATACTCCTCTTTTTACTCGCTTCAATTATTATTTCAATTTTTTATTATAGTATTTATATTGGCTGTCTTATTGGGTAATGGATTAGTTCCAAGTTTTAAGCAGTATATCTTTCTGTAAGGAAGCTTTTGAAGAGAGGTGTTTTTCTTTCTTTTTAAAGGTAAAATGATTAATTATAGTTCTTCTAAGGGTGAGCTGTTTAACTAGAAACTAAAATTTTTTATTAAGCTTTATTGTGTAATTTGGATTTTTGTTGGTGTATATGATTTTATCATTTATTTTATGACCTTATAATTTGCATTATTTATTTTTAAAGGTAAAGCAGGAATGTTTAATGTACCAAGTTTTGATAAAGTTAAACATGGTTGAAAATTGAATGTTGGATATCATATGTTTAAAGCATTTTTACTAATTTTGTGGATATCATACTGATATTGTTTATTTTAAAACAATTGCTATCTGTTAAGACACGTAATGAATATTTATAAAAGAAATGATGTGGCTGGGGATTTAGCCCAGTGGCACCGTGCCTGCCTCGCAAGTGCAAAGTCCTGAGTTCTATCCCCAGTACTGGAAAAAAAAAAGAAGAAGAAATGATGTGATAACTAGGATTTGCTTTAAAATATTTCAGAAGAAACAATGAAGAAGAGGAAATTAATGGAAAAAGAGTGGCAGCCTTCTCTGTAATTGATTGAATCTTTTTTTATGGTTCATGCTTTCTTTATGAAATCTTAAGAACTCTTTTTTTTTTTTTTTTTGGTACCGGGGATCAAACTTGGGTTCTTGTGCTTGCGCAGCAGGCGGCAAAACCACTGAGCTAAATCCCTGGCCCCTGAAATCTTAAAAACTCTTTACCTAGCTCTACATTCTAGATTTTTCTGTTGCATACCCTAAAAGTTTTATTGTTCTACATTTTACCTTTAACTGTGTGATCCATTTGGAGTTAATTTTGGTATGAAGTATGTGTTGTGGTTTAAATCTGATTTGTCCACACTAAAATTCATGTTGAAATGATTCCCAGTGTAATGATACTGAGAGTTGGTGGGAACTCTAAGAGATGATGAGGTATTAAAAGAGATGAATTCTTTTCTTATAGAAGTGGTTTTATTCTTGTAAGATTGTATTGTTATGAAATGAGGCTTTCCCTTATATTCCATCTCTCTTGCACACACCTACTTGCCTTTTCACTTTCTGCCATGAGTTAAAGAAGCACAAGGTCCTTGGTCCTATGCCCTTGGACTTCCCAGCCTCCATAATCATGAGCTAAATAAACATCTTTCTTTTATCTTTTATAAATTATCCGGTCTCAGGTGTTCTGCTGTAGCAACAGAATGAAATAAGACAGTGTGAGGTCAAGGTTCATTTTTTTACCTGTGAGTATCTATGTCCTCCACCACTGTTAGTTAAAATTCTTTTCTTACTCCATTGAATTGCTTTTTCAATTTTATAAAAAACCAAGTGGTCATGTTTATGTAGGTATATTTATGGGTTTTGCATTGTATTTGACTTACTGTATGTCTGTTATTCTACCAAGTCTACACTTCTTGATTGTTGTGTTGGTAATCCTTTACATAGGAAGAGTGATTGCTTCTACTTTATTCTTGATTTTCAAATTATCTTAGCTATTTTAGGTCATTTGCCTTTCTGTATAAACTGGAGAATATAATTATCTAGGTCAGAAAAAGTTGCTGGGATTTTGGTCGAAAGTGCATTGCAACTATAGATCTATTTGGGGAGAATTCACATTTTTTTATGCCCAGTCAATCTATGAACATGTTATATCTGAATTTATTTAAATCTTCTATTTTCTTACCCTTGTAATTTGCAGGACACACATTCTTTACCATTTTGTTAGATTTACTTGTATCTGTTTCATTTTGGGGGGAGTACAGTTTTCAGTTTAAGTTTCTTCGTGTTCATTACAAGTGTATAGGAGTACAGTGGACTTTTTGTAGGTTATTCTTGTATACTGCAGTTTTCTGAACTCATACAATAATTCTTGGGATTTTTGTGTTTATTATTTGAGATTTTATAGTAGACAATTATCTCATCTGAAAATAGAGTTTCATTTCTTCCTTCCCTAGCTATATGTTCTCTTATGCCCCCACCCTGTGCCCTTTTGTCTAGAATTTTCAGTAATGTATTAGATAAGTTGGTGAAAGGAGACAACCTCAGATTGAGGGAGAAGCATTCAGTCTGTTATCAATAAGTGTGATATTTGTTGTAGGTTTTTTGAGCTAGTCTTTTTCAATTTGAGTAATTTCCCTTCTATGAGAATTTAATGACAATTTTTATTATTAGTGGATGCTGGGTTTTATGAAATACTTTTTATGTATCAGTTGATGTGATCATATGGTTTCTGTTCATCCTATTGACAGTGATGGATTGCACTGACTTTTAAAAAAATATTAAACCCAATTTATATTCCTAAAATAAACATCACTTGGTTGTATGTAGTTTATGCTTTTTTCATGCTTTGCTATATTCAATTTGCTTTTTAAATTTTTTGTAGTTCTCAAGATTGAAGCCAGAGCTTTTGGTCTGAGCCACACCCTTCACTCCCACCCTTTTTTTGAAACAGGGTCTCCCTGAGTCACTAAGATGCCCAGACTGGGCTTAAATTTGAGATTCTTCTGCCTCATCCTCCCACAGTGCTGGTGTTATGGGCATACATCACCAGACCTAGCTAGTTTAATTTTTATACTGTCTTTGTGTGATGTTTTGTCAGAGTAATCCCAACTTAGTAACTTAAGTATTTCTTCTTTTTTTTTCTAAATTAGTTTGCATAAAACTGCATAAATATTTTTAAAAATATTTAGTAGAATTTGCCACAGAAGCTAATTGAGGCTGGAGATTACTTTTTCAGTAGTTTTAAATGACACATTCAGTTTCTTTAGTAGTTATAAGACTGTTCAGATTATGAGTGCATGATTTGTAGTGCTGTTCCTTTTTCATTCTTTATGTGATTCGTGTTTGGTTTTAGTTGTAAGGAGTTGGAAATAAGCTAAGGTTACTTTGTCTTACCCAGAACTGGAAGTCTTTGTATTAGACTATAATTCACCAATGAAAATTAAAAATCTTGACCATATACATATACACATTTATACCTCCTGTAGTGACATTTTCAAATGTTTTAGAGGAAGATCTTTATATATGTTAGGTTATTTTTCAGTGTGACTTTGGACATAGGCCCTCAGTTTTCATGTATGAGTGATGAAATATTGGACTAGATCATGTAAGTTTCCTTCAATGAATATTCTGTAGTTTTATGATCATTGAAATAGTTTATTTATTCTTTTTTGGTTTTTTTTGGTACCGGGGATCAAACTCAGGACCTTGTGCTTACAAGGCAAGCGTGGTACCACTGAGCTTTCCCTGGCCCTTAAATAGTTTATTTAAATCAAGGTGTATTACTATTGTTGAGATGGAGGAAAAAACTTGGGCTTTGGAGCTAGGCCTGTGTTTGAATTCTGAAAGATGGAAAGACAGTTTTTACATAGCTGTTAGGAGCACAGACACCAGAGCCAATGTGCCTGGATTTGCGTTTTGGATTTACCTTTGGTAGGTACATTATCTTGGGCACATTATTTAGCTTCTCTTTGTCTTAGTTTCTTTATTGATAAAATGGTGGTAATAGTACTGACCTTACATGGTTGTTGTGAAGATTAAGGAATTATCATATACAGGTGCTTTAAACAGTGTTTGCAGATAGGATACATTATTTAAATGTTTACCACTTACTAAATGTGTGGCCTTTGGTTAGTTTTAATCGGAATTTTAGTTTTGGCATTTATAAAATAGGGATTATTATGTGTGCACAAATATATTAAAATATGTATTTACATCTTGCTCTCAATATTTAATGTTGTTTATATATTATTTTGTATTTAATAGAAATTAAATTAAATTACTTACAAATTATTGTTTTTATTTCATAGGTTTGTAAATATTTTTTCTAAAGCAGTCTTTTACTAAAAATAGCCTTGATTTATTTTCTTCCCACAATTGCACAGAACGGAAGGATGCTGAAGGGTGGGAGACCGTGCAGAGAGGGAGGCCTGTCCGTTCTCGATCAACAGGAGTGGTGCCAAAAGTGTCCTTAGTGCCAGAAGCCTTAAAGTTGAAGAAGGATGACACCAATAAGGAAAATTTATGTCGTTTACCTGAGGAAAGTATACAGAAAGATGACTTTTTTAGAGATAGATCTTCTAACATTGTAGAACCTCGGCCCAGAGACTCATTTCACTCTTCAGACCATCCTCTTGCTGAGAGAACCCAGGTAAAATATTCTGAAAAACGTTTTACTACCTTCTTCAAAGAGTGTGTGTGTTGGAACGTCTCATCTTTCTACTTCATTTTCAACTTTTTATTTTTGTGTAATTTGATACTTACAGAATAGTTGCAAGTATAGAATAGTGAACCCCAATATATTGTTTGCCCAGATTCACAAATAGACATTTGCTGTTTTTTATCTCTCTATGTGTAGTTATATGCTAAGTATTTGAGACTAATGTGGAAATATAACCATTCACCTTCAGTATTACAGCATGTATCTACAAAGATCAGAGACATTCTTTTGCATAAATATAAAGTTCAAGGAGTTTGGCATTTATACATTATCTAATTTATAGTCAATATTCAAATTTTTCTTTTTTCCTACTAATTTCTTTATTATTATTATCTTTTTAATCCTGGATTCAAGATCCAGTCTAGAACCACACAGCACATTTGGTTTTGCTTCTTTAATATTTTTCATTGAGGACATGTTTCTTAGCTCCTTTTTGTATTTCATGATGTTTGGAGTTTGAAAGAATACATTGCAAAATGTTCCTTTTTTTCTTTTTATTCATTGCCCATAACTCAGTTTAGCAAGAGCCTTTCTTACAGGAATAAAGTCATTTTAGATAGTGTCACATCTATAGGCATGTGATAGGAATTTGCCTAGTTTTCTTCTTAACTTTGATTGCTTGGTAAAGGTGGCATCTTCCTGCTTTTTAAAACTGGCAATGAAATTTTTGACTTGTTCTACTTTTACTTCCTTCAAATGCTAATATTTAGTATAAATTTTATTGTTATTATTCCCAATATATTTCTTTTATCTGTCTAGTTGAAATGTGTTTTACTGATTTTATGAGCTCTAAATATTTATTTATGTAGAGGTTCATGGGCAGTTGGTATCTTATGTTAAATGACTAAAAACAAGAGATATTCTTTACATTATAGGAAATGCTGTAAATAAAACAGTAGTAATATTTGCAGTTAACAATATTTACTGTATAAAGTTTTCTTTTACATGTACTAATAAAAATAAATAATTTTTTTCTCTTTTACCCATAGGGTATTTTTCACCCCTTGGAAACACTAATCAGCTTCCTTGTCTTCTAATGATAATGGCTCTTAATTCCACATTATTCTTTATGTGCTATAGCTCTTTAATGTGTGCATGTTTATGCCCATGTGAGATTGTAAGCTCTTTGAGGGCAGTATCTCAGGTAGTCTTTTAATTTCTGACAAATGAAAGAGTCAAGACACATAGGAAGTAATCAGTTCATCATGTGGGTTACATTTAAGAAAATCTTTAAAGGAGATACTTAATGAAATCTCTTTATTTTAATTAACAAACCACTAGCATTCTTTCTAAGGTATTTTATCTAAAAAATATAACTTTACATAAACATGCTGGTTTTGTGTGGTGCATAAACTTGTATGATATTGGGATTTTGGGAATAATCCATACATAGAACTTCTGAATAATTAAACTATTGCTAAAATGTTTTAGTATATTATTTAAGTTCACTGCTGATGGTTGCCAACTTGATGATCATGTTTGTTTTCTTCACTGTCATTCTAAAAATGGAATTTAGCATATCTTTTATCAACATAGCTTTATGGTTTAGCTTTGGTTTTGTTACATAAATGGTACTGCATTTTTAATAAACAGTTGAATATATTGTAAACATCAGTAATGCTAATATAAGTATTGCCAAGAAGATTATAAACTAGAGTGACTGGCATATAAATAATATTGATAGCAATATAAACAATGGGATACAATTCAAATAATGCTTATGCTAAAATCAACACTTTGGAACACTTTAGGTTCTGACCAATAGTAGAATTTCTAAAGTAGTTTATAAGACTTGGCCAAGTTTAATATTTGTGTAAATAATTAATCAAACTGGAGTTTTATCATCACTGCAGTGTTTATCTAATGTTTATTTAAGAAGTGATGTGAGTTTTAAATTCATAATTTTAGATTTTAATTCTTTGCTTTGGTGTATAATTGAAAAACAAAACACCATTCTTTATTAGAAAGTGAAAATAAAGGCTTGGTTATATTTACTAGATTAGGAAAAAATTTTTTTAAATGGATGATATATCTTTGGTCCAAGCCAGTTTTTAAAAAATATCATTTTTACATTTTTGCAGATTTTGTGTGAATTATTCTTAGTGGGCAGTAGAGAGAATATGTAAAGTATATGAATTACATGATGAGATACCATATACTTTAAAACTACACTCTCAGTTCATGCCTTCCTCTTTTAGCTTTGAGAATTGGTATCATAAACCCTATACATTTTATCAAAGATACTACTTTGAGGTCAAGTTAGTATTATCTGGAGAGAGCACTGTTTCTGGAGAGAGCAGTGTTTCTGGAGAGTTTATATTTTGGGGATTTCATTTGGCTTTTTTGGGGGTACTGGGGATTGAGCTCGGGTCCTTGTGCTTTCGAGACAGGCAGCATAACCACTGAGCTAAATTCCCAGCCCTGGAGAGTTTGTATTTTTGAATAAAATGCCTCAAGTATATTTTGGTAAAAAATGGTTACAAGATGTTTTCGAAAGTGCTGAATACCCTCATGGCTATAGACAGTCTTGACAAAAGTCCTTGTAATACCTTTAGTTGAATGAATATAACATGAAGTATTATACTTGTGATTGGATTTCTTTGTGGAGAAGAAATACTCTTTAAGAAGCAATTTTTAAAAAATAATGTAATTACAATTTGTATTGGATAAATTCTGAGAGTAGTTAGGACAATGCCCAATATGCAGTAGGCCTGCAAATAAAATTTGTATGTTTTTTCCTTTTATGACACCTGATACATACAAAAAAGATAACTGAGTTATCCATCTGCCAGTTAGGTACTGCTAACAGTTGAAAGATTAAACAGAACCAGCTCCTCTAGAGTTAAATGTTGGTTATTTTTTATTGTCTCTGATTCATTCTATGGATATGTTTTGTTAGTTCACAGTGAATACATTGGATGATGTCAAGAATTCTGGTAGTAGTCAAGATTGTTCTGTGCAAACTTACGAAATACCTGCTGTTCACAATGATGAAGAGTGTGTCTCAGTCACTCAGCAAGCTGACATACCTCCCTTACGAACAAATGAAGAAAACCTTCTGGCAGAGAAAGAAAGGATAGAAAATGAAATGGATCCTTCAGATATATCAAATGTGAGTGCTGCTCACTTGGTAAGAACAACTTATCAGAATTCTGTGTAAATATACTAAAAAGGGATAAACCTTAATAATAACTTGTACTATTTGATGTGTATTTTACAAAGGATTTTATGTTATATAATACAAAATTCTTATAGTGATCTTTTGATATAGTTAAAATTTTTTTTGTAGAGGAGGAAAATGAGACTAAGAGAATAAAAGAATTGTTCAAAATCATTGTTTGTATGTGATTTGATCAAATGCACTTTATTAAGAAACTAAATCTAGCATCCACGAGCCACTCTCTCGGTTCAGTCTTAGGCACTGCATCAACAACAACAGCAACGAAGAAGGAATTTAACCCCATAATGATTAGCCTTTCTTTCTGTGTCTGGCATTCTGATGGATGTTGCTTGCTAGATTTATTTTTTAAAATCCTCTTAACAGAGTACTTTAGCTAGATACTCTTACTTGGTTGGAGTTGGTCTTTGAGATGAAATTTTATTTACTGTTCCTGTTCCAGAATCTCTAGAAACATATTAATTAGATATAGGTATATATATTTGAATGATTATTTACTTCTGTCCACTCTTCCCACTGTTTATGTTCGTATTAAGACACTTCACATAAGGGTAAGTCAGAATAGACTAGAGAAGTTTCAGAATATTATATGAATGAATTTGTATTATCTTTGCTTGCCTCTTTTCACTCACCATAATTATTTTGAGGCTGATCCATGTAGTTGTGCATTAATAGTTCATTCTTTTTATCATCTTTAATAGTATTCTGTTTCAGTAGTATTTCTTTTTTATTAAAAAAGAATTTTAGGGCCGGGGATTTAGCTCAGTGGTTTTGTTGCCTGCTGCACAAGCGCAAGGACCCGAGTTCGATCCCTAGTATCAAAAAAAAAAAAAAGAATTTTACTGAGTTATAGTTTACCTAACATACAGTTCATCCACTTAAAGCTTTCATTGTTTTTCAGTATAGTTACAGAGTTGTATATCCTCACCAGAATCAGGTTTAGAATACTTTCATCACTCTAGAAAGAAACCAAGTAACCATAAGAAGTCATTCTCTTACACTGCCACCTCCACCCTCCCAGTGCTAAACAGGCACTGTCTGCCTTCTGTCTATATAGTTTTGCCTCTTTTGGACATTTCATAAGACTGTAATACAATATTTGGTTTTTTGTGACTAGCTTCTTTCACTTGGCATAATGTTTTAAAGGTTCATCCATAGCTTAGTCTGCTTCAGTACATAATTCCTTTTTATGACCAAATAATATTGTAGTGTATGGATATACACCACATTTTATTTATCTGTTTATCTTTTTGTTTTGTTTTGTTTTTGGAAACAGGGTCTTGCTGTGTAGTTCAGGCTGGCCTTGGATTCACTGTAGCTCAGGTTGGCCTTGAACTCATGGCAATCCTCCTGCATCAGCCTCCTGAGTGTTGGGATTACAGGCATGTGCCACCAATGCCTAGCTCTGCTTTAACTGATGATTCTCAAGCATATTATTTATGTTATGTCTGCATATTTTTAAGTTAGGTATATAGGATATATATACATATATGATCAGAATGCATATTCATCATTACAGCATGCATTCTTTCTGTGTTCCCATTATAGTATACTATTTTTGTTTTATATTTAGCAGTCATGTTTGATTTGTAACTTTTGAATCTTGACCTTCAAAGGAAAATCATACTTTTTCATTAATAATACCTGTTATTTATGTAACTTTACAGTTTCTCACACACAGCAGTCTGGTAAAGAAGGTAAGTCAAGGATTATTGTTGCATTTTATGGAATAACAAATGGGCTCTTGGTTTTAAGACACTTAAGTCACACAATTGGTAAGTGGTTGCATATATTTTGGACTGAGATTTTATGATTTTAGGTTCATAAAGAGCTCCCCACGAGGAATGTAGTCATTATGTACATGTGCTGCAAACATGTACTAATAAAGTAAAAATTGGAAAAACATTTGGTATAATGTTGAGTTCATGATTAGAATATAGAGAAATACGTCACTTTTCAGTCTAGTGATGATTCTTCTTTTTGTTTGTTTTTATCTTTATAGTCCATGGCAGAAGTCCTTGCTAAAAAAGAAGAGCTAGCAGATCGTCTAGAAAAGGCGAATGAAGAGGCCATTGCTAGTGCTATTGCTGAAGAAGAACAGTTAACTAGAGAAATAGAAGCTGAAGAAAACAATGACATTAACATTGAAACTGATAACGACAGTGATTTTTCTGTGAGCTTTTAGAATTTTTAACGTAATTCTTCAATTATATACAGAAATAAAATGCTTAGAGTTCATCTAATCCTACTTAAAATTATTTGTTTTAAAATCATTTTGATAATACACATTATCATTATTTTCATAGTGATTTATTATTTTTTTTTTGTTCTTTTATTTGGTACATTTTAGGTATACAATTTGTTTACATTTATCATTGGGTGTTTGTACCTGAACATGATGTATCTTGGTTCTTATTTTTTTCCCCATTACCTGTGTGCCCTTCAGCCCCTCTGCCCTTCCCTATTTACATAGATTTCATTTCCATTTTTTTTTCTTTTCTCATAGTTTTTCCTTTCCCTCTTTTCCTTTCCCCTTCCCCTCCCTTCACCCCTTCGTCTTTGGACCTTTTTTCCTATTTCATATTATCAGTTATTCATTTTAATCATTTTAAACCTTGTTTACACTATCAGTTTCTCACACTAGAGAAACTATTCGGTATTTACACGTGTGTCTTATTTATTTCACTTAAGAGTATGGGCTCGATATGCATCCATTTAGCTATAAATGACTAGTTTTTTGTTCTTTATGGCTGAGTAGTACTGCATTTTATAAAAAAACCACATTTTCTTTATCCAGTTTCCAGTTGATGGGCACTTGGGCTGCTTCCAAGCTTTAGCTATTACAAACTGTGCCGCTATGAACATGGGTGCACATATATCACTGTGGTACGATTCTTTTAATTCTTTTGGGAAGATACCCAGCAGGGGAATAGCTGGGTCAAAGGGGACCTCTAGTCCTAGTTCTTTGAGGTATCTCCATACTGACTTCCACAGTGGTTGCCCCAGTCTGCACTCCCACCAACAATGGAGAAGGGTTCCTTTCTCCCTACAACCCCGCCAGCATTTGTTATTGGTTGATTTCTTGACAGCAGCCATTCTTTCTGGGGTGAGGTGGAATCTCAGTGTTGTTTTCATCTGCATCTCTCAAATGATGAGTGATGTTGAACATTTTTTCATATATTTGTTTGCTGCTTTTACTTCTTTGTCTGAGAAATGTCTGTTCATTTTGGATGCCCATTTTTGAATTGGGTCTTTGAATTTGGGGGGTCTGATTTTTTTCAATTCTTTGTTTTTTTTGTTTGTTTGTTTGTTTGTTTGTTTTTGGTACCGGGGATCGAACTTGGATCCTTGTGCTTGCATACCAAGCAGCGAAACCACTGAGCTAAATCCCCGGCCCCTGAATTCTTTGTATATTCTAGATAGTAGTCCTTTGTCTGAGGTACAGCTGCTAAAATTTTTTCCTGTATTTTAGGTTGTCTGTTAGCTCTGTTGGTGGTTCCTTTTGTTTTTTGTTTTGGTACCTGGGATCGAACTCGGGTCCTTGCGCTTGTGCAGCAGGCAGCGAAACCACTGAGCTAAATCCCCAGCCCATGTTGGTGATTTCTTTTGCAGTGCAGAAGCTTTTTTAATAAGATGAGATCCCAGTTGTTGATTCTTTCTGCTAGTTCCTATGCTGCTGAGGTTTTGTTCGTGAAGTCTTTTCCTATGCCAAGGTCTTCAAGAGTTCTACCTAACTTATCTTCCCAGCCACCTCATCTTTGACAAAGGAGCCAACCACCATCATTGGAGGAAAGATAGCCTATTTAATAAATGGTGTTGGAAAAACTGGGTTTCAACCTGCCAAAGATTAAAACTAGACCCATACCTATCACCATGCACTAAACTAAGATCAAAGTGGATTAAAGATATAAATATTAAGACAGAAACACTCATGGTGATTTGGATATAAGCAATAGCAAGTTTTAAAAAATACATTACCATTAATAAGTAATTTTAAACATGATGCAGTTAATGAGTTGGAAGTTATTATTCTCATTTTACAAATCAAGAAGTTGATATTCAAAGCAAGGACTCAATGTTAACTCAGATTGTCATTTTACAGATTTGAATTTAAAGTATTTCAGTTTTTATGTTCTAACCAAGAGAAAATGATACACTGGCTTTGCTGTCAGTCTCATCATATACATGTTGGTGAAGGAGATTTGTTACAAGAGTAAAAGTAACCACAAGTTCTCTGTTTCAAATATCCTTTTATTAAATTTTATGGCCAGTATATAATCTTGAGCTCTGCTAATGTGTGCTTTATATATTATATGTTAGTGTTTATGTAGTGTAAATTTACTTCATTTTTATCTGTTAATAACTAGTAGGCACTTAAAAATCTATGTGCTGTGGTATCTTAACTTGGTAATTATTGTGATTGCATAAGGTATGTAGCCTTTTTTCTGGTATTAAACTGTTAAATGAAATATATTAAAAATATGTAGTTTAATTAGTGTAATTTTTTAAGGTTATAATAATTATGTCCAAAAATTTGTTTTTCAATTTCTCTTGTTGTATTTTAGGCCAGTATGGGCAGTGGGAGTGTATCTTTCTGTGGCATGTCTATGGACTGGAATGATGTTCTTGCAGATTATGAAGGTATTATTGTGTGTGTGTGTGTGTGTGTGTGTGTGTGCTGTGTAGATACTGTGGGGTACACTAGATCTTTTAAGCAGCTTCTATGTAAAATAATTTAAGATAGAAATGTTGCAAACTTTTAAAGTCTGTTCTCAAATGTTGGTTTTATAGAACTATGTGGTTAAACAATAACAGTGGGTTTTTTTGTTTTGTTTTGGTTTGGTTTGATTTTTCTGAACAGCTCGTGAATCTTGGCGCCAAAATACATCCTGGGGGGACATTGTAGAAGAGGAACCTGCTAGACCTCCAGGGCATGCAATTCACATGCATGAAAAACTTTCCTCACCATCTCGTAAAAGGTCTGGTGTTTGAGAATTAATTTGAAATGTTTTACAGGAGGGAAACCAGCCATCTTTGACTATTACATAGAGTTGCTACATAATTTTTTTGGCACATGACTTTAGGACAGTTTGAGATCCACTGAAAAGTGACAGTGCTTTCCTAAAATGCTAGGTCAAACTGAGTTTTGTGTACTTTAAGTCCTTTGGAGTCACTATTTTTAGCCTTATGATGTAAACATTTGTCTCTTATTCATTTGTTTTTATTAATAGAACAATTGCAGAATCTAAGAAGAAACATGAAGAAAAACAAATGAAAGCACAACAGTTAAGGGAAAAGCTACGTGAGCAGAAGACATTAAAGCTGCAGAAACTTCTGGAAAGGGTGAATTTTTAATTTCTTAGGAAATTATGGTAGTCTTAAATTGGTGGGCTTATTTTCAGATAGACTATTTTCTTCTTAGAGAAGCTAAAAGAAGCATAAAAATACATTTGCTAGGAAATAAAGACATTTCTATCGAATTTAAGGTTAATTGCTTAAAAAAATTTGTCTTTGCTAAAATATCTAGTAAATAGATACTGCACCATGTTGGCTTGAAGTTTTGAAGCAGTACTTGTCTTTTATCACTTTTATGGGAAAATTTCCTTGGGTGGGCTTGCCCAAAGTGTCCTACCTCCTAGGACAGTTTTGAGGTAGAGAGTGTTAGATTTCTTATGTGTATCTGGCCTTTGGCCAGTCCTGGCCCTTGCCACTGGCTTGGTTTTGACTATTGTTAGTGTGCCTGTGAGTTTGTATATAACCTCAGCTACAGGGGTGCAAGTTACCACCCTGGTCTCAGTGTTGTAATTGTGTGCACATTCACTGCTGGCCTTCTTGACATGAATCTTGGAAAATCTGAGAGTTGTGGGATTTTTTTTGAACACTAACAACAAACAAAAAAAACCTTAGCTCATCTAGAAACCAGAGAAGACTCAAAATCAGAAATGAAAGTGCAGTCATTACAATGAATGAGACAGAGATAAAATGAATAATAAGGGATTTTTATAAGCAATTATATACCATCTCCAGAAGCATGAGAATAAGTTTGTTTTCTTTATGAATTACCTTGTCTCTGGTGATCTAAACAGAAAGAGAAACACCCATGTATGAAAAATCCACAGCATCATAATCAATTGGAAAAATGTAATCTAATATTTGGTAAAAGGCAGAATGCCCGCTCTCACTACTCTTTCCAACATAGTACTGAAAGTACGAGCAAAAGCAGCCATGGAAGTAAAATAAAAAGTGCATTTAAACCAGATGTAAAATTGTCTGTATTTGCAAATGATACAATCATATCCATAGAAAACTTAATAACTGCACAAAAACTGAGAAATAATATACAAATTCAGTAAAGTTTCAAGATATGCAATCAATATAAAATATAACACATGTATATAAAAATCACAATGAATTATCTGAAAGGGAAATCAATAAAATAATCCTATTTACATTAGCAAAAGAAAATTAAAATACTTGGAACTTAACCAAAAAAGGTTAAAGGTTTGTTCACTGAAAATGATAAAATATTGATGGAGGAAAGTAGAAAAGACATAAGTGGATAGGAAGATATCTCTTGTTCATGAAATGGAAGAATTAGTATTGTTACAATATCCACACTACCTTAAGTAAACTACAGATTCAGTACAATCCCTATTAAAATCCCAGTGGCCCTTTTACTTTTTTTACAAATGGAACAACAAATATAAAAAATAAATGCTGAAATTCAAATGGAACCACAGAAGATCTTAGAGATAACCATCGTAAAAATATACAGATGCTAAAAGGACATAATAAACAATGCAGAAATAAACAACAGTTACGGCCAGCTGATCTTGACAAGGATATCAAGAACACACAATGGGGAAAACTTAGTATTTCCAATAAATTGTGTTAGGAAAACCAGATCTCCACATTCAAAAGAATAAAATTAGACTATACACAAAAATCAATTTTGGGCTGGGGATTTAGCTCAGCAGCACCCTGCCTGCTTTGCAAGTGCAAGGTCCTGAGTTCAATCCCTGGTACCAAAAAAATAAATCAATATAAAATGGAGTAAAGCATTAAACATAAGACCTGAAACCATAAAATGTTTTGAAGAAAACAAGGAAAAAACTTTTTCTTGACATTTGTCTTGGCAGTTACATTTGCAATATGACACAAAAAGCACAGGCAACAAAAGCAAAAATAGCAAAATAGTGTCACATCAAATTAAAGCTCTCTGTACAGCAAAGAAAAAAAAATCAACAGAATGAAAAGGTAACTTACAGAATAGGAAAAAATACTTGGAAGACATTATGTCAAGTATGGCATTATTATCCAAATAGTTAAGGAACTCAATTCAATTGCCACAGAACAAATAACCTAATTCAAAATGGGCAAAAGACTTAAACAGATACTTCTTAAAAGGAGAAATTCAAGTATGGAAAGGTCCTCAGGAAAAGGCAGTGAGGACATCTCACCGCATTAGCATGCCTTTACAGAAAGGTGGAAGTGAGGTGTGGGTCAGAGTTTGGAGAAAGGGAGCCCTTATCTGCCTCTGATAGGAATCTAAACTAGTACAACCAACCATATGGTTAGCAGGAAGAAATTTTCTCAAAAAATGAAAACAGGACTACTGTATCATCTAGTAATCTTTCTGGTACATAGTCAAGGGAAATGGTGTCAGGATCACAAAGAGATATTTGCGCATTCTTGGTCATTGTAGCACTATTCATAAGAGCCAAGACATGGAAACAGACTGTCTGATGACAGATGAATGGATAAAGAAAATATATTATGTGGTATGCTTATATATTTGCATCTGTTTATATAGATATATCCATACTATTGAGTGTTAGAATAAAATTATGCTATTTGTGGCAGTATGGATGATGTGAGAGAACATTTAGCCAAGAGAAATAAAACACAGAAAAAGAACAACTGCGTGCTCTTGCTTTATACATGGAATCTGAATCAGTCAGAGTCATAGAAGAAGAGACTAGGGTGACGCTTGCCAAGGACTGGTGGGAGGAGAAAACACAGTGATGCTGGGCAAAGGTAGAAACTTTCAGTTATGTCTGATGAATAATTTCTGGAGATGTAATGCACAGCATCATGTCTGTAGTTAACTCAAATTTTAAAACAGCCAAACATTATAGGAAAAGGTGGGTTTATCTTATAATTTAAAGATTTTCTCATTAGTACATATGTTAATTTTTCCTAAAAGCGGAAAAAAGCCTCAAATTTAATAGTACCAGTGAGAGGTACCAGGTTTGAGTAAGTTAGCCATTAATTGTATTTACAGAAGAGAGTCTGAGTACTTAAGAGCGTGTAACTAACTATTGGTCGATGTGGTATAGTGGAAAGATCCATTTTGAAATGACCAACCCAATTCCCTTCCTGATTTTTACCACATAATAAACTGTGATGCCCTGGAAAGTTATTTTACCTTGTCCCATTTCCATTTCTTTAAGGTAAAATGACATTTATAGTTATTAGCATGTTTTGATGCTTAAATGATGTCTGTATGTAAAACAGAAACATTGCTAGGCTGGATGTTGCTCAATATGCAGTCACTCTTATTGTTGCTTTTACATGGCACATGGAGATGAGTGCTGTGTTAGTCACCTATACTGTGTTACAAATGAGGTCAACATTGAGTATCTTACAACAGTAAACACTTTTAGCCCACAATTTCATTGAAACTAGCTGTGAACTCCTCAGTGATTCTTGCTCTGGGTCCCTGATGATGAATGTATTCAAGCTTTTAGTCAGGGTAGTGGTTTTCTGGGTTGTGAGGGCCCACTTCCCAGCTTGCCATGCAGTCACTTTTAGGCCTCACTTCCTCTTTTGCTACTGACTAGAAACCTTAGTTCTTGCCCAGTGGTGCTTCCATGTTCCAGGTGCCTTCATAACATGGCTGGTGTGGTTTCCTTGTAGAAAGTAATCAGAGAGGAGAGGGGAAAGAAATAGAGCACAATCTGGGCTCCTTTTAAGATGGTGATACAGATTTTTAAATCTTTCTCATATATAAACAAGCTTGTTCAATATTGAACTAAGCTTATATTCCTGTAATGTATCCCCACTTGATTATTGTATTTTTTAATGCACTGCTAAATTTTGTTTGATGGTATTTTATTGAAAGGTTTTGTATCAGTATTCATAAGCGAGATTGACCTGCAGTGTGTACATGTACATACACAGGCACACATCCACACACACCACCTTTGTGATGTTCTGATATGAAGATCATTTTGACATCATAAGAAACTTGAAATTCTACCTTTTGCTCTTTGTGTTGAAGAAGATGAAATAGTAATGTGACCATTCATCAGGCTTACGTGAGATGGTTCTAGTTTATACCAATGATGTCAATTAAATCTCCCTTAAATAAATTATAGTGACCCTACTTAATAATAAAAAAAAGAAATAGCGCACAAGAGAACTGATAAAAAGGAAGCTGTACTGTCTTTGTGGCATCACTTTTGCTGTATTCTTTTGGTTGCAATCCTGATATAATGGGGAGGAGGAGATGACACAAGGATCTTAATGCCAAGTGGTTTAGATAACTGGGATCCATCTTGGAGCCTGAATACAGCAAGTACCTAACAATATGAAAGGTGATGAAGACCACTGAATTATAATTGTAGGTAAATTCTTTTGTTACCTCTGGTACCTGAATGGAGTACTAATATGCATAGCATATAATTTACGTTGTTGAGATATAATAGGACTAAATTATATGAATATTTAGAAAATGAGCTAAGTAACATTATTCTTTAATAGAGTAATTGAATTTGCTATTTAGTGGAAGGCAATTTTGTGATTTTTTTTCTTTTAACCTGAATCTTAAGAATTGGTCATTTAGAGTTTGTCATTTAGAGTAGATCAGATATGAAAAGCAGTCTTCATATTGTAGGATTCTACAAAAAGTAGTGCTCTAACACAACCAAATTTCCTCTCTATTTTTTAATATAAATAAAGTTAAATAATATATTTTCTCATTATATAATATGATCTCCAAATATTCAGGCAAATATATCTCTGGTTACTAAAGGTGTCCCTGATTTTAGAGGTTCTCTGATTTAATTTTCCCATCTGTGTAAGTACTCAATTCATTTCAGTGGTAAATTCTGCCTTCCATTGTATTATGGGTTATTGATTCAACACTGTTTTGTATTTGTGCTTGCATTTGACCACTACAATATGTACTCATATTGAGTCAGCTTCTGCTTTTCTATAATTCACCCTTTCTAGTGCTAAATCTTATTTCCTGGAGCATAGAAAAAGTTTTTTACTTCTTGTGTTTGATACAGTTTTAATGAATGAAAGGCAGTGTTGAGTTTTTCTTTTATTTGTGCAGAGCTAGAGTTCAAACCCAGGGCCTCCTGCATGCAAAGCAAGCTTTCTACATCCAGCCGCACCCCCAGGAGTAGGACAGTCATTATGTCTATCTTTAGTCTGGAGGAAAGCCCTCTCTGTTCCTTCAAAGAATGATTCTTATGTAAATTACATGATTTTTCAGACTTTTCATTTTCTAATCGTTAAGATAAAATTACTTATTTTTCTTGACTGTGGGTTATATTAGGGATATTTAGATTTATGAGAATAAGAAATACATAGGGGCCAGGGATTTAGCTCAGTGGTTCCGCCACCTGCCTCGCAAGCGCAAGGTCCCAAGTTCGATCCCCAGTATCAAAAAAAAACATTAGTTAAGAAATACATACTATTTTCATTATAATTCATTATATGTTTTGTCCTTATGGTGTAGTACAGTGAAAATAATGGCAAATATTTCTGTAGAGTTATGTCCAATCCTGTGTTGTAAAGATTTTATGTCTATTCAGTTTTCAGAATAATCCCATGAGTTTGGTACTACTTTTATTATTTTCTTTTTTGTAGATAATAAAACTGAGACATAGGCTAAAATTGCGGCCCAGGTTACACAGCCACTAAAAGTAAGTGGCCAAGGTAGATTATGGACACCAGTAGTCTGGCTTCATAGTCTGTCTCAGTCACTAGTCACACTCCTACAGATCTCCCCATTTTTAGATTTATACTTCATAAGCCATTTACCTGTTTGCCCTTCTGTTAAATTATTGTGTATTTTGAAATTAAGGATTTGATAATTTGCCATACCTAGGAGAAGGATGTCCGGAAGTGGAAGGAAGAATTACTAGATCAACGGCGTAGGATGATGGAAGAGAAATTACTTCATGCTGAATTTAAACGAGAGGTACAATTACAAGCAATTGTGAAAAAAGCACAAGAGGAAGAAGCTAAGGTATATTATAAATATTTCAAGCACTTAATCATTTATCCAAGTACTTGTTTCAGGTATTATATAATGGTAATAGAAGTTAATGTTTATTAAGTGTTTATTCTGTTCCAGGATAACATAACATTTTACTGGCTCATTTAAAATTTACTAGATACAATATCTTATTTTATCCTTATAATAATTCTACAAGCCATAAATATTTTTTACAGCTCTATTGAGGTATAATTGACAGAATAAGTAGTACATACATTAAATATTCAATTTGATAGATTTTGACAGGTGTATATCCCTTAAACTATTGTTACAATGAATGTAATAATTCCTCTTTGTGATTTATTCCTTCCTTCAGCTCTTACTGTCCAGTTGCTCATCTGCTTCCTTTTCTTTGTTTTTTTTGAGACAGGGTCTTGGTTTGTAGTTCTGGCTGGCTTTGAATTATGTATCTCAGGCTGGCCTTGAACTTGTGGTGATCTTCCTCCCTCAGCCTCCTGACTGCTGAGATTACCAGCATGCGCCACCATGCCTGGCTCTTCTGCTTTCTATTGCTAAAATGTTTGCATTTTCTAAAACTTTAATGGAATCCTATAATATGTACCCTTTCCTCTGGCTTCTTTCAGCATAATTATTTGAATTTTATCCATGCTGTGGTGTGTATCAATATCTTTCCGTTTCATTTCCAGGAGGTCTACCATTGTATGGAAATACTATAATTTTTTAACCCAGTTACCTGTTGATGGATATTTGTTCTCTTCCTAGTTTTTGTCTGCTACAAATACAGCCTCTGTGAATGTCCATTTACTACTTTTTCTGCAGACATGTGTCCTCATTTTTCTTTTGTAAATATCTAGGAGTAAATTGGAAGAGTTATGGTAGGTTCATATTTAACTTTAGAAAATAGTTTTTAGACTGGTTAAACCATTTGATATTTGTACCAGCAGTGAATGGTGTTCTAGGTATAATACTACATTTTGACCAACACTTGACACATTTTAATTTTAGCCATTCCATTTTAGTATGAGTATGTCTCATGTTTTTTCCTTTTTCTGTGTGTGTTAAAACACACAAAACTTACTATGTTAAGAATTGTGGATATGCAATTCAGTGGTATTAAATAGTTATAATATTTTATAACCATCCACCCTCCATATTCAGAAATCTTTTTTATCTTGTAAAATTGAAATGCAGTATTTATTAAATAGTAACTCTTCATTCCTGTCCCCTTTCCCCTAGCCAATGGTAACAACCTTTTTCCTTTCTATAATTTTGGCTGCTCTGCATAGCTTATCTAAGTGGAAACATACCATGTCTTTTGGGTCCTCAGTGTTACAGCACCTGTCAGAATTTCTTCCTTTTTCCCTCTTCGTGTAAGTGGCCAGAGGTGACCTGTGAAAATGGTTTGATATTCTCTTGACCCAGAAAACCCCACAAAATCATGCAAATCAAGAGGCTCAAATCTTCGTGTTCACTTTAAGAACACCCGTGAAACTGCCCAGGCCATCAAGGGTGTACATATCCGAAAGGCCACCAAGTATCTGAAGGATGTCACGTTAAAGAAACAATGTGTGCCATTCAGGCGTTACAATGGTGGAGTTGGTAGGTGTGCCCAGGCCAAACAGTGGGGCTAGACACAGGGCTCGTGGCCCAGAATGAGTGCTGAATTTTTGCTGCACATGCTTAAAAATACAGAGAGTAATGCTGAGCTTAAGGGTTTAGATGTCGATTCTCTTCATTGAACATATCCAGGTGAACAAAGCACCCAAGATGCGCCGCCGTACTTACAGAGCTCATGGCTGGATTAACCCATACATGAGCTCCCCCTGCTATATTGAGATGATCCTTACTGAAAAGGAACAAATTGTTCCTAAACCAGAGGAGGAAGTTGCACAGAAGAAAAAGATATCCCAGAAGAAACTGAAGAAACAAAAACTTACGGCACGGGAATAAATTAGGCATAAAATAAATGGAAATAAAAGAATTTCTTCCTTTTCAAGCTGAATAAAATTCTGTTGTATGTAATACCACATTTTGCTTATTCCTCCACTTGAGTGGGATCCTTGAGTTGTGACCACATTGTAGCTGTTGTGTATGATGCTATAAACACAAGGGTCAGTTGATCTCAAGTCCCTGTTTGTTTTAAAAAAATTGACTGCTTTTGTCTATTTTTTGCATATTTTTCCGTCTTTGGTGTCATATCCAAGAAGTCAGTTCCAAATCTAATGTCATAGCTGGGCATGGTGGCACATGCTTATAATGCCAGCACTCTGGTAGCTGAGGCAGAAGAATTGCCAGGAGTTCAAGGCTAGCCTGAGCTGCATAGTGAGTTCAAAGTCAGCCTACACAGCAAGACTCTATCTCAGAAAACAAAACACCAAACAAAACAAAACAAAAAATAAATCCAGGGCCAGGGATTTAGCTCAGTGGTTTCGCCGCCTGCTGTGCAAGTGCAAGAACCCGAGTTCTATCTCTGGTACCAAAAACAAAACAAAACAAACAAAAAATAAATCCAAGCTCTTGAAACTTTTCTCCTGTATTTTCTTCTAAGACTTTTATAGATCTTGCATTTAGGTCTTAGATCTATTTTGAGTTAATTTTTTCATATTGTATTACATAAGCTTTTTTTTCCCTTTAGTAGTATCAGGGATTGAACCCCCTGGCCTTCACACTGATTTACATCCCCAGTCCTTTCTAAATTTTTTGAGACAGGGTCTTGCCAAGTTGCTAAGTTGCTCAGGTTGTGGTCTTCCTATTCTGTCCCCAACAACATTCCATAGTTTTATTACTTTTACGTTACTAAAATTTATTGAATCTTCCTGTTTCTCTGCAGATACAAATTCCTCAGTTTTAATTTTCCTTGGCAATATAAATGGACTCAGTGCTTACCAATCTTCCACTCCTGAGTTGTTTTCACTTCTGTCTTCGTTTGTCATAGTTTATAAAGTGATCTTTCCAGAGTTCTCACATGTGCTGTATTCCTTGAGTTCTTGGGTATTTTAGGATCTCAGCATTTCTGTCTGAATTATGTCTTGGCTAGAAAGCATATTTATGATTCACAGTATCCTTCCTTGAGAACTAGTAGCATTGTTTTGTGTCTAGCATTAACTGTTTCTGTGGGGAGGACTGCCTGAGACCACAGTGAGTTTTGCTTTCTTGTAGATGACTTAGATTTACTGTTTGGAAGTTAAAATTTTACTATTCTTTCTTAATGTTCTGTAATGTAGTAAGGACATTCTTGGTGTTGATCTTCTGAATCTGTATTTCATGGAATAATGTAGATTCTTTTAATCTTCAATTTGTTTCTTCCCATTAGAGTACATTTCTTATATTTTATGTTGTAATATTTTCTCTTGTCTTTCTTAAGTGCATAGATATTATTTTTGTCTTTTTATTAGATAATCTTGACTTGTTCTCCATAGTCAAAACTTATTTATCTACTCAATCTCAGTTAAAAAATAAACAATAAACTGTGATCAATATATGCCTTTTCCTCTGATAGTAATTTTAGTTCATACCATCTCTATTCTATTCCATGCTTTTCCTAATTTAATTACTTCTGTGATAGCATTACTTTTCAGCTCAATTTGTTCCTTACCTCTCTAATCACCATTTATTTTATCATTGTTATTTTATCATTTTTCTCTTTCCCCCTTTAAATTCATGTTCTTATTAACTTCTTCAGTGTTACAAAGCTTGCATAGAGGATTTTCTGCCTTTTTGAGTGTTTTATTTTCTTCTTAATCCAGTCCCCCCAACCCCTGCACTTTTGTATATTCTCCTTTGTCTGAATTTTATTTATTTGCTTGGTATATTAGGTCTCATTCTTTTTTCTTTCATCTTGATTTATGCTTAGTATGTGATCTCTGTTAATAGTATGAATAAATTTTTCTTGAATGTACTTGATTATTGTGTTTTTTCAGCAGAGTTTAAAAAATGCTTATAAGGTTGATCTACTTATAAAATTGTGCTTGTGTAAAGAACAAAAAAGAAAAGCAATAAATAGGAAGCAAGGAGAGTTCAAATACTTCTCAAATGATATACTCTGTTGTTTAAAAAATATTTCAGTATACAGTATACTAATTTGTTTCATTTATACTAAAAGTTTAGTTTTTTGAAAAGAAAATTTGTTTTATTACCAGTTTGTTCCTTTTTTGTAAAAATCTTTTTAGTTTATGTCTTGTACTGAGTAACTACTTTGCAGACAGTAATACAATGTGATGTCTATTGTTATTCTATTCCTTGATTATGAAACTATGTTTTATTCATAAAATAAAAATTGTGCTTGTGGTATAGAGATTGGGAAAGATGAATGAGAACTATATTCAAATCTTTTTGTGTGAAGTTATTTATCTTGAGCTAGATTTTACTGTCCAGCACAGATTTCTGGTGTCTCTGCTTCTGTCAGAGTTAGCTCCAGTGTTCACCTCCCTATTTCACCATGTTGTTTTCACTGTGACATTTTCTCCCTCTAGCTATCAAGAGTAAAAGATTTAATCCCAACTGATGCTTTGAACCTTATCATTACTTTATTCCTCAGAGTTGTATTGTCTAGCACAGCGGTGGCGAACCTGTGGCACTTGTGTTATTTATTTTTCTTTTAAGACAAAAGATGCTAATGTATGAGTTGTTTTTTCTAAATTAAAACCTAAGCATTCTGGTTTAATTGCAGTGTTGGCACTTTGTGATAAATAAGTGGGTTTTGGGTTGCAGTTTGGGCACTTGTCTCTCAAAGGTTTGCCATCACTGGTCTAGCAGAAATTGGCTGTTATGAATCAGTACAGGAGAGTGGGAGGATGCATACAGCATACAGTTCAGTGTCTTATATTTAACTGTCATTCATTTATTGTGTGTCAAAAAAGTGATTTGTTGTTTATTGTAATTTTTATCCTCTCTAACTCATTCAATTAACATGAACATATCTAAATTAACTATAGTGTAGTTTGTGTAATTTGAAATCACAGTTGTTTAAAGTAGAACTTTTAAGTCTTTGTAAGAATCTTAAATTGTTTTGTGACTTAAAACTATTTTTTGTGGCAGCTACTAAGTCAGTTCTTATGAAACCCTGTGGATTTGTTAAATATATTGGATTATGATTTATTTTTGAGGTACATATTGGAAGAAAACCCCATAAGTCATTCATTTTTCCTCTCTGCCATATCATTGGTTTATATTTTATATTAAAATTATTGTTGGGCCGGGAATTTAGCTCAGTGGTTCCGCTGCCTGCCTCGCAAGCGCAAGGTCCTGAGTTTGATCCCCCAGTACCAAAAAAAAAACAAGTAAAAAATCATTGTTAAAGTTCTTATTCTTGTGCTGTGCCCTAGAATTAACTTGATTTGAACCCTACTTTCTTTGTATTTATTGAAGGTAAATGAAATTGCCTTTATAAATACCCTGGAAGCCCAGAATAAACGGCATGATGTTTTATCAAAATTGAAGGAATATGAGCAGAGACTTAATGAATTACAGGAAGAGCGGCAGAGGAGACAAGTAGAAAAGCAAGCACGTGATGAAGCTGTGCAGGTAGGATTTGATTTCACAAATATTTGCTGAGCACCTCTCATGTTCAAGGCTCTGGTGAGGTGCTGAGGATCCAAAGGAGTATAACCTCATCTCTGTTCCTGTTGTGCATGGGTTAACACACGACTGCTTGAAAACAAAGTCTGACAGCCAGAAAACAGTGTTTACTCACTCAGATAAAGTTGTCAGTCCCTCTGTCAGTAGATGGCAGTCACAGAATCTCTAGCTCCAGCCAGCTGAAGGACTGAACTGACAGATTATTATCTATTCTTTTCTAATTGGGTTGAATAAGAATGTGGTTGTCTTCTCCTAATAAAAAAAAAAAGATGGTTTTTGGACAAGTATATGTAGCTGTAAGAAGTGGTTCATCTTTTTGCTTATGACAAGGGACACCTGTCATTTACTGGCCAATATCACAAGTTACTTTTCAACTCTACAGCAAATCCTAAGTTAGCTGCCATTTTCAGGATGGGAAGAAAGGTTAAGGCATAAACTGTATTTCTGTTTATAAACTATTTTAGATTTTCTTTAATAAAACCTCTTGCCCTTAGACTTTTAGGTTCTAACATTTTTGGTGTAGAGAACAAATTTGCAATATTAAATACAAATTCAGACTTACTGTATCTGTTGTAGCTAATATTTATTTGTGCTGAGATGTAGCATGGGAGGGCATGAATTCCACGCACAAGGGGACAGGAAGAAGTGTCACAAGGAGAGGTGGGGATAGCATGAGAAATTTCATTATGCTAGAAATTAGGGATATTAATATTTCCTGCTTCATGTCACTGGTGATTTTAGGAAATTAAAAATGTTAATGCATTTTAAGTTTATTGATTACTTTTGTGGGCATTAACAGGCATTTTCATAATCATCTCTGATCTCTGTTTGATTTGAGTCCATGTCTTATTTCAGTGAATGCTAAGCTAACATGTGTTTAAAAATATAGAATGGCCCTATTAAAGGAACTACCTTGTATTAGTTAGGGTTCTCTAATGGATAGAAAATAGATATGTATTTATCCAAAGGGATTTATTAGCTAGGCCTGTAGGGTTGCAGGTGTGAGAGTCCACAGTTGCCATCTGGTAGAGACCCCTGTAGTCAGGTTACAGTACCCACCTGCCCAGTGAGCGACGCAGGCCTGAGAAAAAGAATACACTAAGAGACAGAACTAGGAGAGAGAAAGTGGGATGCCGGTGCAACCAACAAAGGCCTAGGACAGTCTCAGGCACTGACTTTTATTGGAAATCAATTGAGGTAAAGGCAGTGTATGGTTTCTATGGAAATTAATGGAAACAAGGCTCATAAAGGACAAGAAAAAGCATTCTCAAATTAGCAGAATAGACAAACTATATAATTGTAATGAGAACATTTTCCTTCTAGTCTGAAGGTTTAGTTGTGGGAATGGAATTTGGGTGTGAGTTACTCTATCTCAACATGTGGGCCCAGACTCACTTCTATAAATAAGCCAATTGTGGGATTAACTCTTTATAGCCCGCTTTGGGCATAATCAATATTATGGTCTTCTGCAGCTGTCTGCACGCTGGAGAATAGGTGGAGCCAGTGCTGCTCCTCCCAAGAAGTTAGAAGCCACAGAAGAAGAGGGATCAGGGATACAGCACTAGCCCAAGGTTGAAAGCCCAGAAGCTCATGGTAGAGTCACTGGTGCAGTCTGCCTTGCAATCAAAGTCCAAAGGGGATTACAAGATTGGAGCTCTTTAGAAGCAGGCATACTTCCTTCTTGCCCTTTTCTATTCCATCCAGGTCACAAGCCTGTTGGTTGCTGCCACCCTTGACTGGGGTGGGTCTTCCCCTGCCTCAGTTTGCTGGCCTACATGTCAGTCATTTACAGATACACCCAGAACTATGCTTTATTAATCTTCTAGGTGTTTCTTAATCCGTTCAAGCTGACATAACATGATTAATGGTTACATGCCTTTTTCTCTTCCATGAGCAACAAAACTTTTCATTTTTTTCATTTATAATTCTCTATTTATACCCTTAAATGAATAAATAAAACAATGTATTTAGATTTTTTTTTTTGGTACCTGGGATCAAACTCAGTACCTTGCGCTTAAGGCGGTGGCACTACTGAGCTAAATCCCCGGCCCTTAGATTTTTAAATTTCTCTCTTCATCATTTTTTTTATAGTTACAAAAAAATGTGTTTTATAAAAATACAATTATTAACTATATTACACAGTAGTTTCCATAAATTCACCATTATTTTTGTCTCTTATTGTATGTTACTTTTCAGCAACCATTAGGTAATGATAGTTCAGAGCCAAATAAGACAATTCTTGACTTAATGGTAAATAATAAATTAGAATTTAATGAGAAAAGGGTATAATGAAGGATGAACAAAGAGTAGAGTACCATTAAGGACAGAGAGTATTAGTTCTGTTGATGAGACAGGGAAGGCTTTCTGGAAAAGGTGACTTCTTTTCTGGATTTAGGGGAGAAATATATAAGCAGTGTTGTATTTTTTTTTCCTCAGTACCAGCGATCCAACTCAGGACCTTGCTGTAAATCCCTGACCCCCTGTTGTGTTTTTTTGGGGGGGGGTACTGGGGATTGAACTCTGGACCTTGTGCTTGCAAGGCAAGCAGTGGCACCACTGAGCTAAATCCCTAGCCTGCTTGTTGTGTATTTTTAAATGAATATCTCTGGTTCCTTTTACTACCTTTTGCACATTTTAAATTAAATAATTATCTTCAGTTGAAAAATGATGATTCTTGCTTTATAATTTGGAACATTAAAGCTTAAAGGAAATCAGTTTACTAAAAGTATTGAGGATTTTTTTTGTCTTCACCAATACTCTTTAAATTATTATCCCTCTTCAGAATTACTTTTTTAAAAAACAATGTATAAATTTGCTAGACTGGTGCACACCAGGCCTAAAGATCACCAGTTTGAAGCTAGTTGGGGTTACATAGTGAGTTCAAGGCCACACTGGACTAGAGAATGAGATCCTCAACAAAACAAAACAAATCAGAAAAATCCTATAATTTTCAATGAAAAATTTCAAACCTGTCTACATGCATTTAAGATATACTGGTATTGTTAAAAAAATTTTAAATGTGTAGTCATTATTAGCTGTATAAGGTACTAATACCAAGCATTCTGTAAATAACAATAATATTAGTAAGGTCCTAACCTAATACAGAATTTCAAAGGTACTCCACTATGTTCAGCCCTAGCAGCTGTAGGTTCTGCACCATTGGATTAAACAAAGGTAGATGGAAAATATACAGTGTTATATTGTTGCCCATTATTGTTACTGTGTAGTTAGGCACCTGAAAAGGTGCGGGCAGTGTAGCAATTATTTATATGCTTGTTTAATTAGCAAGCAGTTACACTGTGTTAGATTGAAAGTGAGCTAGAGATTAGAAGTGCATGAGAGGATCTTGATAGGGTATTATATGAAGATATAGTACCATTTTCTGTGAGAGACTTGAGCATCTCTGGATTTGGGTATCTATGGGGACCCTGGAACCAATACTCTGTGGTACCAAGGGATGATTGTACTTTATTTCTATTTTTGAAACATATCAAGCATAAAGGCAGTTGTGATCCTTGTTTCTTATAAGTGAAATACTAAGTGCTCCCATCATATAGTCTCCATTTGCCATTATTGTTTGTGTCTAGTCTTGGTTGATTAGATCTGAACTCAATTTCCTTAAATATTCTACTTAGTCCTTTTGCCCTAAGTTTTGAATCATAGATATAATGAAGAGGTTGAAAAAAAATTCTTTCTTGGGCTCCCATGAGCACATCCTTGGCTATCAAAGTAGAGGATCTAAGAGGTTCTGTAGGGTTAAGACTTAGTTATGTTTCTAATCCCTTTGTATTGACTTAAGTTCTTTATTTGTAGATATAAAGTTATGCTTTATTTATTAAATACATACTTGGGGATCATTGACCTGTGGAAGGTGCTTTGTGGGGTAGAAAGTTTCCTATCTTTTTTTCTTTTGGTACCAGGGATCAAACTTGGGTCCTTGCGCTTGCGCAGCAGATGGCGAAACCACTGAGCTAAATCCCCAGCCCAAAAGTTTCCTATCTTTAGGGAACCATTTTACATTGGAAAATGCTAGCCAAATTTACTAGTTTTGCTCAAAAGCTATATAACTACTTATTTTCTTTTCCATTTATTGAAAACAAATTAATGTGTTGGATAATTTTTGAAGTTCCGTTAACTTTTTTTTTTTGGTACTGGGGATTGAACTCAGGACCTTGCGCTTGCAAAGCAGCCACCGGAACTACTGAGCTAAATCCCTGGCCCTCAGTTAACTTTTATTGGTACAGTGTCAGGCTAGATTTTATGTCCTTGAAAAGTCACAACTTTACATTAGACAGTATTTACAAACCTACAACTTGGGTACGTTGTACATGGAGTTATTTTTATATAATAATATATTTCTCTTTGCCTGTTCATATTTTTAGAATATTTTTAAGCACTTGGTTTTTAATCAAATATGACATAATGACATACTTTAAGCAAATTTGACTCTAAGAAAAAATATTTTTGTTTGTATTTTCTTTAATTAAGAATAGTTTTTGCTGGATAAAGATGTGGTTTTTTTTTTTATAAAATGGAGTACTACTCAGCCATAAAGAATGAGAAACTAGAGTCATTTATAGCTAAATGGGTGCATATTGAGGCCATACTCTTAAGTGAAATAAATAGGACAAACGTGTAAATACCGAATAGTTTCTCTGGTGTGAGAAACTGAAAGTATAAATAAGGATTAAAAGGATTAATAATGAATAATTGATACTTTGAAGTAGGAAAAGGTCCAAGGGGTAGGGGTAGTGGGAGGGGAAGGGGAAAGGAAAGAAGGGAAAGGAAAAATTATGAGAAAAGAAAAAAATTGGAAATGAAATATGTAAATAGGGAAGGGTTTAGGGGTGAAGGGCGCACAGGTAATGGGGGAAAAGAAAATTAAAACCAAGATACATCATGTACAGGTACAAACACCCAATGATAAATGTAAACATGTTGTATACCTAAAATGTACCAATAAAAGAACCTAAGAAGAAAAAAAAAGAACAGTTTCTGCATCAGATTTGATTGTTTTCAGTCTTAAGAGATTTTGAGATCTGGTATTGCTAATAAACAAGTTTCCATATATTCTTGATTACTAGAGAAGCAGCTTTAACCAGTTCATAAATAGTATGCCAAACACTAAAGAATATATTTAACATCTAATTGTATACTTCTTATAGTCTGCTATAAGAATCATGCCAGCTATATCTCCTTGAAATCAGGGCATTCCCTCTAATTCCCAGTCTCCCCTTGGCAGGGAGAGGAGGAGAGGGGGGACAGTGAGGGAGAACGATTCATCTATCCTTTAGGCTTCCTACTTTACAGAGGTTTTTCCCTAGGGTAGGTAGAGGCTATTGAGATGAAGTTACCATTGTGAGCTCAGTAATTTATTGGAAATGTTTGACTCTATCTTTAAGTGTTACCTAAATAGAAACTACCTGATTGTTTTTTTCTGCTGCCCTTTATTGAGCCCTTATGGGCAAATACTAGGGTGAGTAGTTACGTATATTAATAATTTAGGACCTCATAGGCAACTGAAGCTCTTTGAGGCAAAGTGACATTCACAAGACCATATAAGTAGGAGGTGCTAAAGCCTAGATCAGCATGTTCCATTAATCACCAGGGAGGGAAAGGGACAGATTGTGTGTTATCTGGAAAATAGAACAGGTTGAAAGAAAGGTATCAGTTCAGCTGGTGACACAGTGAGCATTAGCAAGGTACTTCTAGACAGAAATATACACAAGACACTTATTTCATGTTAAAAGCTTACTCTATTTTGATGAAGTGTTTTCTGCCATGATAATGACCAATTATTGAGAATTTACTCCATGCCAGGCTCTGTACTAAGTGCTTTCCATGTAGTATCTGATGTGTTCTTCACAAAGTCCTAAGAAATATGTATTACTGTTATTTATCTTCCAGAAAACTAAGGCACAAAGAGTGTAACTCCCTCTACTGGAGTCACTCAGCTAATAAATAATGGGGTCAGGAAACAAAACCAGGGAACCTGGCCAAGTGCCCACTGTCATACCCACAGTGCTGTATTAAGTTGCTTCTTTCTCCTTCCCAGAAGCTTTCTTCACTTAATTCCATGATGGAAGCTTAGTTTGGAAATGAAATGTGTTAACTACAGTCTTTTCATTATGTTTAGGCATTTCTATAACTGTTTATTAATAGGGTTTTTGAAATGATCAATCAGAAAATACATATTAGATTCCCACAGAACCATGTGGCAACATAATATTTACTTAAAATAGTATTTCTTCTCACAATTATGTGTAATGCTGCTAATTGATACATGAAAACAAGATATCATTGCTAATTGATTTTTGTTTAAATTCAGAGATGCAGTGTATCCAGTAGTAAACCATAAATATATAAAGTTGAATATTTAAATAGTGTGGAAAGTTTATCACTTTTAATCACTTACATTTTGCATGTAATTTTAATATCTTTTAAAATGTTTTGAACATCAGGAACGCAAGAGAGCTCTAGAAGCAGAGCGGCAGGCCCGTGTAGAAGAATTGTTGATGAAGAGGAAAGAGCAAGAAGCCCGGATTGAACAGCAGAGGCAAGAGAAGGAAAAAGCCCGTGAGGATGCAGCTCGGGAAAGAGCTAGGTACCTCATTTGTTATCTGGATTTTGATCCTGAGGAGCATTTTACACTGAGTAAATATTTAAATCAGGCCTTAAAAAACAGACATTTGATGTCATATTTATTTTTTAGAAGTAGTCACAAAAACATAAATGTACCACATTTTGAATCCTAGGTATTATGACATTACACTAACAATGGAAACCTTCTGAAATTTTCTGGTGGGTGAGAAACTTGATATTTTAAAATATTTGTTTGAAAAACTAGAATCTGATTTTGGGTAGCTTCAGCAGAAAGGAATCTTTTGGGAAGCTATTGGGCATAATTGATAGGTCAACTCAAGATACTTTAGTATTTCTTAGGATTTCTTCTTTGGTTCGTAGGTTATTTAAAAGTGTTTATTTCCAACTATTTGAGAATATCACACATTTTTTTCTATTGTTGCTTTCTAATGGAATCTTTTGTGGTGGAAGAACAACACTTTGTATAGTTTCAGTGTGTAATTTATGGAGACTTCTTTTCTACCCTTGGATGTGAACTCTCCTTTGAGCACTCTTTGTGCCCTTGGAAAGTATATGTCTCTTGCTGTTGGTGAAGGGCTGCTTTCTAACTATTAGTTCAGTAGAGTTAGTTGCCACGTCTTTGTGACTTAACCAATTTTTGGTTTAGTTTTCTCAACTCTTGAGAGATTGTTGAAGTCACCATATTTAAAAGGTGAAATGTGTATTTCATATTTCTGTTTTCAGTGTTTGTTTTCATGTAGTTTGATGCTTCTTTAAGAGTGTGAATTTTGTAATTGTTGTATATCTCACTGAGAGAATAATCCTTTTACTTTGAAATGTTCCTCTTTGGTTTGTAAAAAAGATTTCTTGCCTTAAAGACAAGAATAAATATAACCATAGTTACTATTTATAAAGTACATCTTATGTCCCTTTCCTTTCATTCTGCTTGTATTTTTGGTTCTTAAACATGTCCCTTACAGACTACATTTAGTTGGATTTTCCTTTTCTATCTGGTCTGCTAATTTCTGCCTTTTAATTGGAATGTTTAGCACATTCTCACTTGATGTAATTATTGATTTTGTTGGATTTATGTCTGCCATTTGATAATTGTTATTTATTTCAAGTCTTTTTTTCCTTCCTTACTGCCTTGTTTTTTAATAAACCAGTACTTTTTAGTGAATCATTTCCACTTTAATTTTTTAAAAATGCATTGTTTTAAATATTTGCTTAATGGTTACTCTTTGGATTACATTATTCCTTTTGATTTATTAAAATTAAGGTTAAAATTGAATTAATTTTGGTAAAATAGAGTGACTTTGTTCAGTGTAATTCAATGTCCTTTACCCCTATGTTATTATTGTCACCTATCTCACATCTTATGTCATAAACTGAATAATACAATATTACAGTTATTTCTTATGGAGTCCTATATTTTTAAAAGAAACTAGAATAAAAATATATATATATATTCCTTTATATTTATCCACATACTTACAATTTCTGATGTACTTCATTTTTTAGTGTATGTATTTGAGTTACCTCTGTTATTCATTTGAGCCAGATGGACTTCTTTTGTATTCCTGTAAGGAAGTTTGACTTGCAGTGAATTGCCTTGGTTTTTGCTTTTCTGGAAATATTTTAGTTTTGCTTTCATTTTGAATGATAGTTTTGCTGGATATAAAGTTCTTGGTTTTTCTTTTAAGTATTTTGAAATTTCTGACTTAAAGTTGTTTCTGATGAAAAATCTGCCATTAATATTACTGTTTTTCCCTTCATGTGAGTTGTTTTTTCTTCATGCCTTGAGGAAATTCTTCTAGTCTTTTACCAGTTGGAATATGATTTACCTAGGCCTGGCTTCATGTTTATCCTTGCCTGTACATTCATGTTTTTATTAAATGGGTACATGTCTGTCTAGGCCATTGTGTCTTATTCAACTGTCGTTTTCTTTGGGGTCCTCTGAGGATGACAGTTTCTCAGACCTTCTGTGCTTTTGATGACAGAACAGTGTTGAGGAGTAATGGTTAGATATTTTATAGAATTTACCTAATGAGGATTTGCCTGATGTTGTTCTCCTGGTTAGACTGGGGCTACAGTCTTTTTTGAGGAAGTCTCCAGAGTTAAGGTGCCACTCTTCACAAATTATATCCTCTCAACCTGACTTATCAGTGAAATAAATTTTTTTTACCAAAAAATAGCTTTTACTTCAATTATCACACCTAAGGCAGTTTTCACACAAGAAAACAACATGTTCCATATACAAGTATCCCTTATACTAATAGCACATGTGTTTTGTTTTTCTGTCTTTTTCTGCAGGACATACTTGGTCTTGCTTGTCTTCCTGTTTTCTCAGGAGGTTCTTGTGATGTTTCACCTCTCTGTTCACCGAGCTGCTCAAGAATTCTTTTGCAGAGTTCTTTGGGTAGATACGTACTGTTTTCCTCTGTTGTAATAGATCATTTATCAATTCCAGTCCAATCCTCTAAGAAAATTTCTCTGTGATATTTTGTGCTTGTTATTTTTTTGTAAACTATGAAACTATGCCTGACATGTTTAGGATTGAGTAAAATACAATCATTGGCCAACATTTTGTGTTTCAAGTGACATCATAGTTGCTGCATAACTCAACATCTAGCCCACCTTCCATTTTGTAAAATGTGACCATTTCTGGCTTCATTTGTGTTGAGGGTTCACTATCAATCATTTTTTGTTTTGTTTTGAGACAAAGTCTCTCTATGTTGTCCAGGCCAGCCTTGAACTCACTATGTAGCACAGATTGACCTTGAATTTACAGGATCCTCCTGTCTCAACCTTACAGTGCTGGAATTAGGGCATGCACCACCATACCCAGCTTCACTATCAATCTTATCATCATGGTGTCATCATAGTATGGACAGTATCAATACTATGTTTTTCTTCACCATATAGGAGGCCAATGTTATGCCTTTCTGAAATCTAAAGATTATACTATACATTTCTCTGTTGTGAACTTGGAACATTTTTTCAAGAATCTCTGCTTTGTTCTTGCAAATAGTTCCTATGTCAGTCAACTGGTGTTCTTTTAGCAAATATAACATCAATGGGTAACTAGTGAACCAATTGTCAATGTGACATTTGGTTACTTTTTGAAATAGGTGCAGCAAGTCTGTTCTCAATGTCATACAGTTTATTAATGCATGAATAAAGTCCTGGTAGCTAAGTTCCAGGATAAATTTCTAAATTCAAGGTGTAAAATGTCTTCCGTTCTACCAGGGCATATATTCTATACCATATTTGGAAGTTTTATTTGTCATATGTTGTCAAAAGCTTCAACAATCATGAAATGATACAAGGTGTAAATTGTCATGTATTTGCACATTGTATAAAATGCTTTACAGTTTGAAACTAAGCTTTCAACAAATGAGAGAATAGCAGCCAAATTATTATTTTTTTCTTTCTTGGTGGGTATTTTTATCATCAAAACATAGGCAATTTTGAAGGAAACCAAATCTCTTGAGTTTCATTATTATTCTAAAAATCTCAGTGTCACAACTGTCACTTCCCCATAAATCCTTTAAATTCTGATGATTAGAATGATAAAGTCCTGTCATGAAAGCTTTTAGTTCAGAGAGTGAGGTTTCATGATAAATATATTTATCAGTATTATTATGGACACATATAGAAAGCTTTCTTATATTTCATTATTAGTGTATTTCAAAACATGTTGTAGTATATCATCCATTACAATTTCCACCATTGAATCTCAGTGTTGGCATTCTGTCCAATAGGTTTCACTCCTGGCAAGAACCTAATAACATTTTCCAACCAGGTTCTAATGTTGGATTGTTCAAGTACATATGACCATTTTGTAGCATTTTGACTGGTCAAATATTTATTTGCTTTATTGTTTTCTTTCTCATCTGAATCAAGGTCTTCAGTATTTCCGTTATATCATGGTCCATCTCATTGTCACAACTTCTTTAGCTTACATGATCCAAGTCATCAACAGTAGCTGAATCACCTAATGGAATCACTTACAACTTCCTTCAAAAGTTGTAAAAGCAGATTTTCATAGCAACATTGTACTGAATTGGTCTCTGTAATGTTTATTAAATGGTATTCTAGGCCATAGGACAAAACTTAACAAATATTTTTAGATGTTTAAATCCATGATCAACTGGTCTTGTGGCTTTTGGGCTGTTGCAAGGAAGCATATCACTTCTAGAGTGTGTGGCAGAGCAAAACTGGAGTTTGTAGAGGTTTCAGTCCATAATCAGCTGGCTCCAAGGCAAGGATGGCAAACAAGCACCACAGAGGAGAAACAGTTTGTGGCACCCACATAGTAGAAAGGTAACAAGGGGCAGTGAAATTAATTTTGATTACTTAGCTGAGGTCTGTTGGCCAGATTACATTTAAAATTTCTTTGTACTGTCTTCTTTAGAAGCAGGCCACTAATTGTGTAGCCCCAAATGGAAGGATAAGAGTTATTCTTCCTCTCCTTGAGAAAAGTAACTGTATATATTACTTGGAATTCTTCTGTGTAAGACATTTGTTTATTCTTCCTGTATTGAACATTTTCATTACTATAACAAAATACCCGAGGCTCCTAGGGCAGAGAAGCTCAGCTGGTCCCAGCACCCAGAAGGAAGCTCCCCGCCTCCATCCCAGGCTCCTAGGGCAGTGAAGCTCAGCTGGTCCCAGCACCCAGAAGGAAGCTCCCCGCCTCCATCCCAGGCTCCTAGGGCAGAGAAGGTGAGCTGGTCCCAGCACCTGGAAGGAAGCTCCCCACCTCCATCCCAGGCTCCTAGGGCAGAGAAGCTCAGCCAGTTCCAGCACCTGG